GATGAAATGTAGTATCGCCCTGTATTTGTTTGTTTTTCATGACATGGTTTCTCTGTAGCTTTGGAGCCTGTCCTGCAACTCTGTAGACCATGCTCATCTCAGAGATCCTCCTGCCTCCGCCTCCTGATCTGTGTGCCCCATCATCACCCATCAAGTCGCATATCTCTAACGATGAACTTTTCTTTCTAGGATCCTCTTCACATCAGTTCTGCAACCCAAAGCCAAAGTAAGTGAATACCTGGAGTCTGTGTATTTGCACTACAGAACAAAGCATCTTTTAAACATATTAACAGGTTTAATGAGGATATATTTGTAACAAGTGCCCATAGAGAATAGGAAGGAAAGCAAATGCAGAGCTACTCTGTAGGTACAGTTTGAAGTAAGCAGTTTTTATGAAGCTTTAAACAAATACAAGTTATTATTACATGACTCCTGGTTATCTTTTGTTGTTGTCATTGTTCTATTTGGTTTTTGAGACAGGGTTTCTCTGTGTAGCCTTGCCTATCCTGGAACTAGCTTTGTAGACCAGGCTGGCCTGGACTCAGAGATCTGCTTGTCTCTGCTGGATTCATGGGCCACCTCACCTCCTGACACACAGTTACACTGAGTATAGTTCACAGTGTTCCTCTGTCTGCTGCCGAGTGATTCTTTCTAGGTCCCCTCTTTAAGGGCTGTAAATTCTGGTGAACCTGGGAAACTAACAGGACCCAGCTTTTCTCCCCATCAGTAACCACCCAGAACAAGGTGTCATGTCCTGATTATTTGTTTGTACGTCAGACCTTACAAAGATCATTTCTGATCATCCAGTTCATCAGAACAAGTTAAGGGGAAGAGATGCTGACACAGGTGGCAATGCCAGGCGGCAGGTGACTGCTGAGGAATGGAGTGCTAGTTGGCAACAGAGGACAGCCATAGTAGGGTCTGTGCTTTGTATGGGAGCTTCTAAATGTCCACAGAGGTGATTGGTTGTGTTAAGTCACCCCCCTCTTTTTTTCTTGAATTTTTTTTTTTCTGTTTCCTATCTTAGAGATTCAAGCTCTTAGATAGACTAGGGTTGAATAGATTAGTCTGGAGCTGTTTTTGTCAGTCAAGTTTCATTGGGCCATAGCCTCCACTTTTTACTCTTTTTACAAGCATGTGCATGAAACTTGACCTCCTCTGCTGTCTGGTGCTGGTGGACCAGGCTTACTGTTGTTCTCTGTCGTGAGAGATGGAATGCCATCTTGTAAAGGAGTCACAACCAGTGACCACTCCACACTATTCCCTGATTATATTAAGCTGCAGAAGCAATTAACTGAAATTGATGGCTAAGTTAAGAGGTAACACTTGGGAGTCAATCCCAGAATACGTGACCACTACAGCAGAAGTGAGTCCTGAGTGCTGCCCAGCTGTGGATGGGTTTCTGCATGCCTCTGTTCTTGCTCCTCTCCCCTTCTGTCTGCTATCTGCAGGGTTTTGTGCCACCCATTGGCCACGACTGTGTGGCTGCTAGTTCTAACTGTATAAAGACCCTGTCCTACCTCTGAGTTGATGAAGCACCCTTTGGCCCGTGCAGCTTTGGGACTGTCAGACTGGCAGTACTCCTGGCTATTGCTTCATCAGGTGCTTACCTAAGGTCATTCTGAGGGCTGCTGCTTTTTCTCTCGATAGTTTGGGTATTTTATTTTAGTGAGGATGTGGCCTTTATGGCCTGAAAGAGAGACTTGACTGTTAGATGAGCAAGGGGCCAGGAATCCATAAAAGCAGCTTCCACTGAAGAGTGTAATGTCCCCCAGTTGGCCTGTGGGCAAGCCTGTGGTGCATTTTCTTGATTGCTAATTGATGTGGGAGGGCCCAGCTCATTGTGGGCATGCCGCCTGTGGCCTGGTGTTCCTGAGTGCTGTAAGAAAGCAGGCTGAGCAAGCTGTGAGGAGCAAGCCTATAAGCAGCGGCCCTCCATGGTCTCTGCCCAAGCTCCTGCCCCCAGGTTCCTGCCTAGAGCTCCTGCCCTGACTTCCCCAGGTGATGGATTGCAACCGTGTAAGATGAATTAAATCCTTTCCTCTCCAGGTTGCTTTTGGTCCTGATATTTAATCACAGCAACAGAAACACTAATTAAGTCAGCAAGCTTTTCTCAACACCAGCAAGTGAATTCTCATGTTTATTTATTTTCACGACAGGGTTTCTCTGTGTAGCCTTGGCTGTCCTGGAACTCACTTTGTAGACCAGGCTGGACTTGGAATTCTTCTCCTTCCTTCTCCTCCACCTCCACCTCCACCTCCTCCACCACACTGGGCTTATGGGTCCTCTTACTTAGGTTTTAGAGTCTGGAGAAAAGTGTAGGGCTTTTATACGAGTGGCCTGCTGTTTATGTCTGAGCTCGCACAACATGGTCACCTAAGGTTTTCCAACTTGCAGCCTGGTCAGGATGACCTCTTAGGGAGTCCTTGAGAATGCCTCTACATCTGAGCTCTCGCTGTCTAGGTCCCAACTTGAAAATATGAGAGCTTCTGCCACCGTGTGGAGAGAGTGGGTAACTGCAAGTACACAAGGGAGAAAGAGTTGCTGCCTAAAAGGTTCCCGTGTTAACTGTCCACGTTTATAATTTTCTCGACCTCGTGTCGGGACACATCGGGTGCTCCCTGTCTGGTAGATTGCCTCACTTCCTGTTCCCTGTAGGGTTCACCAGAGTACGACTCAGGGACTGATTTTTCTGAGGCACCTCTTTGCTATGACCCTGAACGTTCTGTCCTGCACCCAGAGTTCTGTGAACCTGGCTCTCGCCCCTGCTGGTCCCCGCACTCCATACCCATCCTCACCTGGGACAGACTTGGGGTCTGACTCCTCCACTTCTCCACCTCAGCTCTTCATCCTCCTGAAGGTGGAAGCAAACTCACAGGTTCCCGTGATTCAACCATTTCATGCTCTCTGCAATTCGCCTCCTTCGGTCATTACTAACAGAGTGGCTGTTCAGGAATGTGGACAGTACATTTACATAATTGCATAATTTACATAGTGTACTTGCCGCACACTGCCCTAGGTCGTGGATGTTTGTGGACCTGTTTCATGTCCCTCGGGCAACTGTAAGCCCATTTGAAGACTGGACCAGATGTTTTTACACATACTGGTTTCTATCCTGCAGTCTATAAATAGGTGTGGAGTGAATGAATTAAAGGCTGTGGGACATGGACTCCAGGTGGGACAGAGCTGTGCTGTTACAGATGGACTTGGGAGTCAAGCCAGGTGGGATATGAGAACAGCGTTGTCACAGAGCCCCCACAGGAACCCAGGCAACTGTCATCAAGAACAGAAACTGTCTCCCACAGTTTGAAAGTTACCAGCGAGTTGGGGTGGTACACCCAAGCCCTGTATTCAAAGTAGCTCTGGCTTATTGAGAATTTGTTGCGGACGTTTTTTTTTTTTTTTTTTTGTTTCAGAAAAAGCTCTAACAGGGCCATAAGTACTATCTTAGGAGACGGCATCCAGTGCAGAATTTATACGGTGTCTGGGTGAAGGGAGGAAGCTGTGAAGAGGGGACTTAATGATTTTTTAAATGCGTGTCCATGCCGCTCTGACTCTGTCTTCCTCCCCACAGAACAATACGATGCGCCTTCCAAAACCCATCACAGTTCCCAGCAAGGAACATCGTAAGTAGAAAAAGGAAAAACCAACCTTCATTTATTGATAATATGGCATTGAAATTTCCCATTGTGCAGATCTCCCTCCCCCTTCAGTTAATGGCATTCATAAAATATGGCTGCATTGTAAAAGGAGGAAACCACCCACAGTTGTGCCTGGATCAAGGTTTATGTACTATAGGAGAATGTGTTGTGGGGTTTTCCGGAAAGAAAGGTTTTGAGCTATTATTTATGCATTGACCATGGAACTCACAAGGCTCTGGCTTTTAAGATTTCAAATTTAAGTAGTTTTAGCTTTGGGAATTGAATTTGGGGGATGTGTGGGATGAGATTTTTCTGCCATTTTCTAGTTTATTTAATGGCAAGAGTTTGTTCTGCCACCCAGATATTCTTATCCAGGCCAGGCACATCCAAATGCATTCTGGGTTTTTGGAACACTTTAATCTTCACGTTATAGATGCTTAATTCAGCATTTTGACCCAATTTATTTCTTTGAATTACCCCCCCCCCCCCCCCCCCCCCCAGGAACTGAATGAGGCAATCTGCTCAGGCTCCTTTCTAGAAATTGAGTAAGGCGACCTGCTCAGGCTCCTCCCTTGGTGTCAGAGTTGTCACTGATTTGTTAATTCAGAGTCCTGCTGCTTCATGCCTGGTACCTGAGGAGGCCAGAAGATGACGTTAGATACTCTGGAACTGAAGTTACAGATGGTTGTGAACTACATGGGTGCTGGGAATTGAACTCTGGTCCTCTGGAAAAGCAGCCAGTGATCTTAATTGCTGAGCCATCTCTTCAGCCTGTTCCTTGTGTTTTGGAGGGTGCCCATTGCTAAATAATCTCAGTTGAGTAGAAGAGATTATTGCATGTCGCTGTGACAGAATGATATGGGGTTAATTCTTTTTACCAGCTCCCTGATGGAGTGATTTTTATTTCAACACTGAAAAATTGAACAGTGATATAAGGGTTTTGGTAGGTAAATTCTCATTGCTTGATCAGGATATGTTTTATTGTGCTCTTGGTGGATGAGGAATTTTTGTTCATTACTATCGTCTATTTGAAAGAGACAAAACCTATCAAACCCGTGTTACTTGCATTTCCCCTTTTCTGTTTTGTTTTTTCATTTTGGGGAATTTTGCTGGCAGTTTTGAATCACTGGCTTACACCATGGCAAGAAAGGAGAAGCTAAGCTGAGGACCAGTGCTATGAGAGTCAGTGAGACGAGCCCCATGCCATCAGGATTGGCTCTTGTTTGTGATGGTTGGATGTTGGGGATCAAGTCTTGGTCACCAATGAATACCCTGGCCATTGTCTTTGGGGCATCTAGGAGGGAGAGCTGACGCCCAGCTTTCACCCAGCAGTCAGTTCAGCAGAAAGCGGAATGGGCAGCGCAGTGGCACCAAGGGCAGGAAGTGGCTGTGTGTTTGGTTTGTGAGTGAGGCATGAGAGGTGACTGACTGGGTGCTACACCCTGGAAGCTGCCTGAGAGTGTGTGGGCAGAAGTCACTTCCTCCTCTGTCCCTCACATGCAGGCCAGTGTCCTAGTAACTGCATAGCAACCATTGAAATCAGAGAAGCCCTAAAGCCCATTGCAAATGCACTTCTATCCCATGACAGAATTCTCTAAATAAAAGCTGCTAATTGATATCTGAAAGGAGTATTTGAGCTCTTAAGAGACTGAGGGAGAGGGTAAAAACAGGAGCAGGGCGGGCAGCTGAGGATGGGAGGGGAGGTGGAAGAAGTTTGGTACTGAAGTTGGGCAGATAGGTAATAAAGGTTGTGTGGTTTCAGTAGGCAAATGCCAAAATGAAAGGTACCCCATGAACAAAGGGATAGATCCCTTTCATGCACTTGCCTTTAGCAGAGAGTGAGTTAATTTTTGCCATTATGTTCTCACATTCAGTGTGGCTGTATTCTCAGTGAAAATGGTTAATTTGGTCTGGTGACAACACCTGGGGCTCTCTAGTGTGGTTAGGCTGCTTGAGCGGCAGGTAGAGTGTTAGGGCAGTGGTCTATTGTCCCCTGTGCATCAGAATTGTTAATTACAGGGTTGTTTATGCTCTGGCTTGAAAAATCAGTCTACACCTTGCCAGATCTAGAAGGAACTAATACATTTAAAACTGAGTGGACATAAAAGGAAGAATGAGGCCAGTGGTAGTAACCCTCACGAGTGTCCAGCCTTGGGTGGAAGGGCAAAGCAGTAGAATGACTCCTGAATGGAGTGTGTGCTTGAACACACTGCTTTTGGGCGTGCGTGCGCGCGTGCGCGCATGAGTGCGAGTCTTAAGCTCCAGTTACTTCCCAGTGACCTTTTCAGCAGAACCCTGCTAGTAACTGATGACTGAGGTGTTGGTGCTGTTGTCTTCCTCCAAGTTCAGGGAGGGCACATGTTTGTTCAGTGGTGTTTGGCTTTGCACAGTCCATTTCCTTTCCCAGATGTGGACAGCACTTAGAGCTTCCTCTTCCTAAGGCTATCTTGCCCTTTGTACAGCTCCTTTTTGGGAGTCCAGGGCAGTTGGCAGGCCCTGGGGGGGGGGAGCTTAGAAGCTGTAGAGCTCCTCACTATTGTCAGCAGCTAGTGCAGCTAGCGGTCCCCCCCCCCAACTGAGGACCCAAAAGGTGCTTTCCTTCCTTTATTTATTTCCTCTGAAATCAACCCCTACTGTGAATAAAGGAGTAAAAGACAGAAATCAGTCTCCAGTTTGAAGTTTGACTTACTTGAACCATTATGCTTGAAGGAGGAAACGAGGGGCTTCAGGGTTACCTGGAGTTAGATGAGAAGGAAACCAGTGTTAACAGCAGCCATGGGAAGTCTGATAATTTTGTAAGAAACCCGATTATTGGAACTGTCTCAATAGTGCTAGTTTTCAAATACCTTGGTAGAGATGGCAGGGCCAACCCCCAGTTTCCTGTGTTAATAGTCTAAGCATCATAGCAGGGCCCTGGGCCCTGGGCCCTGGGCCTTCTGGCCTTGTTTATTGCTTTGTTTTTCTGTAGTACAGGGGATTGAACCCTGGGCCTTGCTCGGACTCCTGGGAACTTGCATCCCCAGTCCCTAGATGTCCTTTAGAATGAGGTCTGATGATACAGTTTGCCTGTCCCAGTTAACTTCAGTCATATTAACTTAAGAAAATTAATTTTTCTCTTGCCATTTTATAATAAGTTGGCTTGATACTGTTGGATGACGGTTTACTTGGATTCTCTCCGGCAGCTCTAACTGAAAGTGTCGTTGATGAATAAGTATCATCAGAAATAACTGATAAAAGCCTGTCAGTTACCAGTTGTTGAGGTGTTACCCCTTCTACTTCAGGAGCACATTCCTGTGCTGCCATTTATATGTTGCCGGAGGACTGCCAATCACTGCTGAGTGGAAAAGGGGACAGTTGGGGTCAAAGGATTGAGAACCTAGCCATATGGATATACACAATGACTTTGCTAACTGGCATATAAAAGGACGTGTTTTGTGTGTTTCTGGAGGAACACCAGAGGTTTGCAGTGAAGGACAGTAAGGATCTTAGCTGTTGTGCCTCCTCCCTCTCCCCTTCCCTCCCCCATTTCTTCTTCCGGCTTTTTGTTATAATGGCTTAAGATCTGAATTTTTGTTTGTGATATCTACTGTCCTCTTCAAAATCTGTAGCCTTCCATGGTCTCCCATAAGGTAATTGTGGCCCATATTTCAAAAACGAACCACAAGTCAGAGCCAGTGACTCTTACTTGAAAGGCCGAGGGAGGAGAATTGGGGGTTGAAGGCAGTTTAGTCTACATTATGAGACCCTGTCTCCAAAAAGGCAGCAGATCTCAGTGAATTCAAGTCAAGCCCGATCTGCATAATGAGTTCTGTGCCAGCTGGGGCTACATAGTGAGAACCTGTCTGAAAAAACAAACAGGAAAAGGAACAAAAGTCTGAGAAAGTTATAAACTTGTGGAATTCCAGTTGTGTCTTGGCCTCCTCCACCCTCCATTCCCATCTGTCCCCAAGTCATTTGGGTGACTGGGAAATGGTACCCATCCTCACATGTTCATTGGCAGTCAGGGTTCTTTACATTTTAAGACACCCACTACCACAATCAGGACTTACAAATCACAGGTAACTGCTGTTAGCTTGACTTCACTTGTTCCTCCTCAAGTAAAATGGTACTAAAAATTAAGCCAGAGAGGAGACTATTTAAATAATTTTGGGGTTCTTTGGTGTTGAATATTGGAAGAGAAAGCCTTGGATAAGCCCATAGACAAGAAAGCAAGACTTTATAGTTTCACAGAGTAACATTGGGGTGGCTCGTGGAATCCATGCCTGCCAGAGCCTGCCTGACTCCATGTACCCCTGCTGGGGGAACAAAATATAGAAGGCATCTGCACAGAGAGGCTCCAGGGGTATCTGATACTTCGACACACTATAAATGTGCTTACACTATGTCGTGGTCCAGAGTTAATTTCCTGGAACATTAGGGTTCCTGTTGAATGAACAGCATGGGTGTAGTGTAGCATATGATATTGAGTGCTTTGCCTGGGAGCTTGGAAATGACATCAGTTATTTGATCAGTGCATCAGGTTTAATTTTATAGGGGGAAACTAGCACAATCATCCCAATAGGATAGTTATTGCTTTATGCTAAATTGAGGTCTTTTTCATGTCTCATAGATCCCAGGTCCTCTAACTATCATGTCAAACAGATCGGCTAGAGTAAGGGAATCTCACACTATGTGATGAACTCAGCATCCCACTTGTGGATTGTAAAGTGGCCATTTCCTGCTCACACCCACCACATACATGGTCTTCGGGCATAGCTCTGTGATGTTGCTACTTAATTCACTAAAGGGGCTGCTTGTTCATTCATCCAGCTTAGTTTTCTCATTCTCCCCACTGCTGCACTTCTCTGGCCTTTTTTCCTACCCTCTCCCTATCTTCCCAAACTCTGGCTTCTCCCTGCTCTTTCCTGTGGATTGAGCCCAGGGAGAACCTCATGCATGCTAAGCCAGAGTTCTCTGACCAAGCTCCAGTGGCCACCCTCCAGCCAGCCCTTCAGGGTGTGCTTGTTCTAGGTTCAGGAACACGAAGGTGGAAATGTCTTGACTTCGCCTCAGAAGAATGAACGATGGATGAGGAGGGGCATGTCCCTGGGGGGGTGCTGCTCTCTTGACCTAGGTTTTATGGACAGGAACAGGACTGGATCTGGAGGATTTCAGTTCTCATTTAGAGGGGACAGAGCTCTCACCCAGGTATGATTCCTCCATGTTCAGGGACCAGTCCCCTTGCAGGATAACACACAAACTGAATTGTGTAGAGAACAACCAGGAGACGACTCCTCTCTCATGCTCAAGCTCCATTTCCTGCCACTGTTGAGATTCTTTCCGCTTGTGAAAAACCGTAACAACACTCACGAGTTTACCCCGTTGAGCGAGATTTGATTACGATTTTTCAGTAAACCATAGGATAGGTGTGCCATACATGTTTCTTATTAAAAACTTGAAACAACTTCTCCCTGCCTACCTCCTGGTGGCTGATGGCATGCTGAGTCACACACATCTGGGGTGGTAAACTGTTTTCCGGAAGGTTTTGTGGTTACTCTTGGCTGGATCAGCAGACACTGACAGTGTACTTCTGTCTGCTGATTCTCATATGAGATACGTGAGGTCTTTGTTTTTGTTTTTTGAAAAGTCTCAGGTTGGCCTGGAATTTGAACTTGCTCTTCCCCTTTAGTTGAGCTTAAATTTCTGATCCTCCTGCCCCAACCGTCCCACCTCTCAAGTGCTAGGATTTCAGGCAGGTGCCACTGTGTCTCCTCCTCCTCCTCCTCTTCCTCCTCCTCCGCCTCCTTCTTTTTGATGTCTGTCTGTCTGTCTGTCTGTCTGTCTGTCTGTCTGTCTGCCTGCCTGCCTGCCTGCCTGCCTGCCTGCCTGCACATGAATGGTGATAGGGTAGAAGTCAGAAGACAGCTTGCAGGAGTTGGTTTCCTTTTCTACCACATGGGACCTGGGGTCGGACTCCAGTTATCCTGCTTGGCCAGCAGCTGCCTTACCCTCTGAACCATTTCACTGGCCCACGACGTTTTATGTGTTTGTTTGAGGCAGGATCTCTCTGTGTAGACCAAGTTGGCCTTGAACTCAGATCCTCCTGGCTTTGCCTCCTCAATACTGGTATTAAAGGTGTGCACCACCATACCAGGCCTGCCTGGCTAGCTTTTTAATTCTTTATTAAGTGAATTATACTCACAGATTTAGACCACAGAAAACACTGCGTGTATATATGGCACTAATAGCTTACATAAGTGATAGAAATTACATGTTTTTATTTTGTAGGACATATTCAGATCCATCTTCATGAAGTCTTCCTTCACTGAGCACTGTCCCCACTTTTAGAGTCTTGAATAGCTTCTATACCAGCAGATATGTTTTACCATTGACTTCTCATCCTATCTAACCTCCAGGAGGAGGAATTGATGGAATTTTCATGGTACCTGCTATTTCCAGATGAGCTCAGAATTTTCTGTGTGTGTGTGTCTTTACTGACTTCAGGAGAATATGTGTGTAGAAATTAGGTGTTACACAGTAGCAAGGGGGTGGGAGTGTGGTGGGGTTACAGGCTTATTTGTGGTACAGAAAATTAAGAAAGATTAGTTTTACACAAAAGAAACCCAGTAGCTGAGGGGAACAAGGTTTGTTCTTATAGTTTTGTTTTTCATGGTTAATACTGAATGCACTTTGCCAGGCTTCCCCCTTCCCTGTTGGGTTATACTGTGTGATTTTTTTTCCCCTCCAAATATAATATCTTTTGCTGTGTCCCCTAGCCAAGCCAGCCTAGCAGCAAACCTGTTGAGTAACTTTTTTTTGCATACCATTCTGATGGCCATCTGCCAAGTCCCATGACCGAAGGCTGTGTTTTTCTAGCCATGGTAAAATAATTTAGTTTCTGCTCGATAACCACCAAGTGAGATCTTCAACTCATAAGTACCTAAAAATTTTTCTTTTCTCTCTTTCTTTCCTCCTCCTGCTTTTTTTATTTTTATTTTGAGACAAATATTCTTTCTGAAACTGTAGACCAGGTTAGCTTTCCTTGATTGAACTCAGAGATCAGTCTGCCTCTGCCTCCTGAGTGCTCGGATCAGTGGCGTGAGCCTGCTTTGCCTTTCACGTTTTAAACAACTGACACAGGCAGATTTTTAGTACAACATCACATGCACATGCCATTGATGACTATCCCAGTTCTATAATTTATCTCATTAGAAAATGTAGCAGTTTTTAACCAGGGCTTCCTGAAGGAACCTTGCCTTCCTACTTCATGGTGCTATAGTAAGACCTGATGATCAAATTACTGAGGAGGTATTTTGTGAGCTACCGAATGACTTTTAATTTGTTTTCTGGAACATAAATATTACACCGATTTTTCTGTTTGACTTCCAACTTATAAAAAATAGCTATGCTTATAAAATTGGAGAGAAATGTGAGAGAATGATTAGTGGTCAATGCCCTTGATATTTGGGGATCTCCGGGAAAAGCATAAGAATGGAAGGACAGATGCTCAAATTGAGAAAACCTGTACTTTTTACTGACACTTTTATTTTAATATTAAAATTTCTCATAAGCCAGACTGCCTAACAATGTGTAGCAATATAAATTTTAGGGAATGAACTAATATTTCCCCTACCATAATTAGTAACTGCAAGTTTAAAATACTTTTTTACTAACAACAGTGCCATTTGTATTACTGATTAAATTAATGGAACATTGATCATTGATCTGTAGTTAGACAACAGAGAATGGATTTTTATTTATTTATTTATTTTGCCTGTGAAAGTGTTCAATATTAATAATGCTCTCTGGACAAAAAGAAAAGACCTATTGTTTGTTAGTTGTCTTGAAGTTTTGTGTGCTTAGCACTGATTAAATACTTTACATCCATTCAGCATCAGCACATGGGTGGATAATCATTGATTATTACTTCCCTTAGAGACCATGGAAGAAAGTTGTTCAAGTGTATTTGCTGTGTATATGTGTATAATCATTGATTATTACTTCCCTTAGAGACCATGGAAGAAAGTTGTTCAGGTGTATTTGCTGTGTATATGTGTGGTTGCAATCTCTGTCATTGTCTGTGTGCATGCTCTCACGGAAGGAGTTGAGGGCACAGCACAGTCTTAGGGCAGATTAGAAATGGCTGCCAGAAGTTCTGTAGGGTTGGGACAGGGTAAGGGGTTGGCTGATCTGCCTTCACTGCTAAAATAGTAACACCTGAACTAAGCAAGCAAACAAAGCAAGCCTCCAACTTATTCCGGCCCTGTCTCCTTTCAGTGTCTTTAGGCACGTGTTCTATTTAAATGCCCCCCAAATTACTAGGAGTTCTCTCAAATTCCCCACTGTCTATTCTCTTTTTCCCAGCATGCTGGAAGATGACCTGCAGCTCAGTGACAGTGAAGACAGCGACACGGAACAAGTAAGTGTTGCACCCCGAGACCAAGAATCCTTCTAAGTCCACCAAATGTACCCCAGCTGCTTGTCCTAACCTGTGTTTTTGTTCTTTCCTGGAACTTCGCATCCTTACTGTTACCACGAATGTCCAGGCCACAGAGAAACCTCCGTCCCCATCTGCACCTACAAGGTACCATTTGCACCTTTCTCTCCATCACACACACCTATATCCAATACAGTGGCTCTAGCTTCATGAAAGGGATGATACGGGGTCGCAGTTGAAGAAAAGTGCCCCTTTGATTATATTTTAAAATCCTGAGTCAGCTGGTGGGAGGTCGTTGACCCTGTGAAGGTGGAAGAGGCCCTGCAACCACCCGCAGCATTGTTCTGGATGCCTGAGCCTAAGGGTTAGAGTCGGGGAAAGTACTTGCCTTCCAAGCACACAGGGACTTGGACTCAGCACCTGCATAAGAGTCAGGTGTGGCCGCCTGTGAAAACAGGCAGACTCCCTGGAGTGGCCAGCCCATCTGGCCTAAGACAAGACCCTGCCTCAAAACTGGAAATTGATCGAAGAAGGACACTTAATAGGGACCTCTGGCCTCCACATGCATTCACTTGTATACATGCATGCTCACCCTCATGCTTGTACCCCCCTGCCCCCCACCTCCATTGAGCCAGGTATGGTGATGCACACCTGTAATCCTTGAGGGAGGTGAGGCAAGAGGATAAAAGTTTGAGGCCAGATAGGGGATAGAGTAAGACTTTCAAAAATATTTTTAAAAGTAAGCTTTAAACACAGTTTATCCTTGGCATTGTGTGAATGGTATTTAGATGAAGGATCCCATGTATTTGTGAAACTGATAGATAACCATGTTTTCAAAACCGGTAATAGCAAATTCTTGTTTCAGGGCTTCTCTTTTCTTAGTTTTAGCTGCTCTAAAATGCGACTTCCAGACATTTAATGTGAGGGGAGCTGCGTTACTTTCACCTGCAAATGAGTCAGCCTGTTTTAGAAAAGTGATGCTCTGTGTTTGGGAAGTGGAAACTAATTTTTGAACTATTTTCACAGTATGTTTCTCCTGATACCGAATGCAATGATCTAAGGTGAAAAAAATACCTGTCTCCCACAGACAAAGACTTGCATTTAGAGAGAAGGTCACCAAAAAGAGCCTGAGTGTCAGTGGTGATGATGTGGTTATTAATAGTAAAGGAATCGCTAATTACACAGCTCATGGACTCCTACACCCAGCCTGTTTATTTATATCCACTCTTGTTAAAATTTTGAGTGGCTCACGTTGACTCACAGAATATGACAAACTGGTCTATTGTAAAAGCCAAGGAAAGGCAACAGTGACCCCAGAGGGCAGAGAAAGCTAGGAGCATAAGCTCCCTTCCCAGGGTGTCCTTCTACTGTGACTGGCTCACACCCTGCAGCTGTCTCACCACTGATGGAGAGTCCTCTGAGTGCAGAGGTCCTGGGTCAGTGTCAGCTCTAAGATGAATCCAGCCAGTGATTTTTATTATGTTATTTAGTAGTCATTATTTAATAAGGGTTTGTTTTGAGAATATTGTAGGTAGGTCAGGAAACGTTGAAGGTTACGGTTAAAGATGTCTGCTTTAGCCAGTACCGTGTAGGGCAGCTAAGACAACATATATGTCTAGCCCCATCCATATGCTTTCTCATTGACCTACACTTAATGGGCGGCCTGTGGTACTTGGAGTTGTTCATGCCCAGCTAGTCATAAAGAATGGCCCATTGTCTAACGCCACCAGGAAGTGACTGGACCACTCCTGAGCTCACCCTGTTGTCTGGTTGCTGTGTAGTTAGGTCCCAAGTAGAGAATACAGGGGGGGTTTTACATACTAGATTCTCTTTTACGCTTTTTCTTTTGAGTTATATATATAGTAGGAGCCAGTAATCTTCATGAGCCACACAGTAAATTATTTTAGCCTTTGTGGGACTTGTAACTCTCTGTTGTAACCGCTTAACTCTGCTATGACAGCACAGAAGCCACCATGTGCTACCACAGAAGTTTTATTAGACGGCATGTTCTGATAAAACTTTATGTAGAAAACATGGCGGGCCATCCAGGTCCTGTTTAACCAGCCCTTGTTATTAGGCACCTGACATAGCTATTGTTTATATGATAGGCCGGCCAGTTTGATGCTGCTCCTCTTATGTGGTTATCTGGTGACCACCAATTCTAACCCTGCCGGCCCCTGCCACCGGATGATAAGCCAGCAGTGATGCTTTTACTTTCTAGGAGCAGGTGGATGGGCAGAGGTGACCGGGCACGGAATCCCGTGTGCATGATCCTGTAATGGTACCTCTGGTTGCTTTTCAGCGCTCCACTGACGCTTCCCCAACCAGCCGTGTCAGCACATTCCAGTAGCGCAGAGTCCGAGAGCAGCGCATCAGATAGCTCCTCAGACTCCGAGAGCGAGAGCAGCTCAAGCGACAGCGAGGAGAATGAGCCCCGAGAGGCCCCGGCTCCCGAGGTATGGTGGGCCTTTCAAAGGCAACCGAAGATGGCCGTGCGCTGGCTTTTGGGTGGGAGTCAGAGCTGCGCGCAGGGACCCTGGCACTGTGAACGATCTGACTGTGGGCCATACTTTCCCACCCTGTGGAGCCACGTGCTTCTATTTGCTGCTCAGCAAGTGCTTGGCCGTGGAAACAGACACACAAACATGACAAGTTCCTCTGCAGCTGCTGAGTGTGGCTTCCAAAGAGTGTTTGCACTCTATCCTCTTTTCTATTGAGAAGGGAAACTTGTTTTAAGTAGGTTACTGTATCAGTGTCAGTGAAAGTTCTCTCAGAATTCAGGAACCTGTGAGTTAAAGAAAATGGAAGAAACATGAGCTAGAAGCAAGTCATCAGTTCTATTTTTGAATCATTAAATGCCACGAAGTAAATTGGCAAAGTGATTCGCCAGGTGGTGTAGGGACAACTGAGTGTGTTGGCGCCCACTTTGGAAGTACCACAAAGATGAACAAGCAGTAAGACTGGAAGACATGAGAACTACGCTTTCACTAGTGAGTTCATGCTATGTGCCGATTGGTTACACACCAGAAACTGTCTGTAATAGCTAACAAGATTGACACACACCTTCAGAACCAGCCTAGCAGTATCAAAACTGAGCTCATGAGAAGGGAAGGCGTTCTTACTGTCTTTTTACTGGATGAGACCAACCCTTACAGAGAGCACTGTGTCTGTATTTAAGATTAGAATGCCAGGAAATGAGGCCTTTTGATAGGACAGCATTAAAGTTTTCTGTGTTTTATCTCTGAGAGATGGTAGTTCAACTAGAACAGCAACTGAACACAGCTAGAGAATGGGCTGTGGCCTCAGGGGCCTGAATGAGGGCAGCTGAGATTGAGGAAGTGAGTCCAGTACTGGTAGGCAAGACTCTGCCTGGCACAGCACAAATACCTAGGGGGTGTCCTCCGGGTTAGCTTTTTGAGGTTTTTATAATGCGTGGACATGGATCAGCATTAACTACATTTGAAGTGTCTTCTGGAGTTTAGAACACAGCTCATGGGCCTCTGTATTCTTTGTGTGGCACTGTATAAAACAATCCCTCTGGATCTTAGGAGGGAGGGTGGTGAACATGTTGACGGTCATGTGTGAGGTGATTTTGTGTGAGGTGATTTTGGTGTTCTCGGTACTGAGACATGAATGAATGTAGAGTATACTTAGCATGTACTCTGCCACTGAATCGAATTCTCAGTCTACACTTCATCTTCAGTAAGGAAAATATGCATGCTTATTACATTATTAATAGAAAATGTTCAATAAAACAAGTTCAATTCAGAATAAACACATTTGACTGTGTAATTGAAACTTTCAAAAATAATTACATAAAAGAGAAATTTGCTGCCAGACGGTGGTGGTGCGTGCCTTTAATCCCAGCACTTGGGAGGCAGAGACAGGTGGATGGATCTCTGTGAGTTCATGGCCAGCATGACAGCCAGGGAAACACAGAGAAAGTGTGTCAGAAAACAAAACAACAATAATAAATCCTTGTTGGGGTTGTAGCATTCTTAGGGTCCTTGGTTCAATCCCTAGTGTCTCCAAAAAGAAAAAGAAAAATAGAAAAATGATTTAATCGTATTTGTTATAAATAAGTTTGTTTCATTGATCAAAAAATGACTGGATTAATGCTCACTGTGGCAGCATGTGCCTATAAACCTGGCACCAAGAAACTTGAGGCTGGAGGGCAACCTGGGCTACCTAGTCTATCTTAGCTCCCCAAAGCCCAAACCAACAAAATCCAACAAGATGGATTGGAACTATCTAGGTGTCTCATTGTTTTTTAAGTCACCCTGGTGAAGAAGTCGTGTCTCCTCCTGTGAGGTCTGCCCTCTGTGCTGGGGCTCACTCTTGGGAATATCTTGTCTTAGTTTTACTTTATTTTCCCTTAGGTAACTAATTTTTGTCCCCTTTCAAATGAATATCTCCTAAAGTTTCCCCTTTTAGTAGAGTGTGACACGGATAATATAATCAACTGTATACTAGCTTTAACTTTCTCACCCACTTGTATTTTTAGTTGTTAATTAATTTTGAGACAAGGTCTCAATATGTAGCTCTAGGTGGCCAGGAACTTATTCTATAGACTAGGCTGGAAGAGATCCACCTGCCTCTCCCTCTTGAGTGTTGGGGATTAAAGGTGTGCACCACCATGCCCGCTTATTTATTTAGTGTGTGTTTGTGAGGGCACACTTGAGGAGGATGAGCAGAGGACAAATTTGAGGAGCTGATGTCTCTGCCCAACTTTTCATGGGCCCCAGGCATCAAACTCAGGTTATCAGATTTGTGCAATTTAAGGACAAATAAGTATACCTCAAAACTTTTATGTTTTGAACCATAATTCATTCTAAAATAGACACACATGTGTTAATTCCAGAGGTAAGAGAACCAAGGGGGGACATGTTTAGGCATGCTCAGGCCACTCCCCATGCCTTCTCTTACTTCAATCATTAGTGTTTAAGTTTTACCACCATTGAGAGGAACAGAGGGTACATAAGGAAGAGGATGAGAAAAGTGAAAAGCCAAACTTGGATCCCATCTGGCACTCCTGTTTGAAAGTTACACTCTGATTTAACCAAATCTCTTATTCAAACATCTCAACACAGATAATTCCTAGCCTTAAGCAGCCATCTCATTTACAACTTCATTTGTGTAAAAGGAAGAGCTGAGTCTACGTTTTCTCTTAGTTGGGGCATACCACTCAGGGTTACTGTGTAGAAGTGGGCCATAGGAGTCCCTTCTGGACCTTCAAGACCACAGTGGAAGGAAGAGTATGCTATTTTTGTAACCAGGACATCCTTTTAGGGACTACTAAATGCATCTCAGTATTGCTTTGTGTTAGGGGTGGGGTTGCGGGAGTTGACTCCTCCTTGGGGTCCACACATTAATACATTCTAAGGATCCTGTCAGAGGTGTTGACCAGTCTATCCCAGACTTTCCCAAGGAGTGTTGGGAAGGGCTTGAACCTAATAAAGCTCTCTGCCTTACAGCTTTATCAGATTACTTAATTACTGTGTTCTAAATAGGAAGTCATGTGGCAAGGATCTACTCTGTGCTCTCTGTTCATTCCACACTCTAAACCACCTTGCCTTGTTAGAATATCGAATACAATTATATTTCCATGTGATAAAATGCCCCACACATTATAGTAGTTGGCTTCCTTCCCCTCTTGCTGAAATTCAAATGAACACCTGCATGAGTTTGTGTAAGCTGGAGGAGACAAGAGATCTGTCATCATAGGAGCAGTATGGGGTAAACAAAAAGAGCCCAGCCCCTGTCTGCCTACAGGAACCCTCCTGACTTCTCTGGTTCTTTGTGGTGTTACTCTGTTGTGAGCACACAAAGCCTAGATCATCTTACTTCTGGCCCTGCCTCACCTAAATGCATCCACACCATATGTTTTGTATTAAACCTGCATGTTTTGCAGATTTGGATTATTTGGTATATTTTACTTTGGAAAATTATTTTCCCTTTGAAAAACTTCTGAGGGTAAAGGTCAGTGATAGAGCACTGGCCTACTAGGCATTAGGCTTTCAGTTTGTTCCCCAGCAAGTTAAAACTCAATTAAGAAAATTATATTAGGTTCCACCTACTGTGTGACTCTTATCCATCAGTTAGATCCCACGTGTAATACTTTTAGTTAGTGCTCGGATGGTCTGTATATGAGTCAACTATTCATAGAGGCCACTAGTAAGAGTGGATCTTGGGGAAAGAGGGAAACACAGCAAGCCATTGATGTTTGGTGTCTTCTAAAAATACAATCCTCACTTTATCACCACTAGTATTTCCCCATACAATCTATAATTTGTGTCAGAATGTGATAGCGGGATGGCTCAGTGGTTGGGAGATGCCATGCTCTTACAGAGGACCTGACTTAGGTTCTTAGCACCCAACTGCTCATAACAGCCTATAACTCCAGCTCTAAGGGGATCTGACACCCTCCTCTGGCCATTTGTACCCCCCAAATATAATTAATATGCACTTTATAAATGTATAAAACTGAGAATAAAAACATTTAAAGATGAATAATAAAAATTGCAAAATAAAATATTAAGTAAATATAAAAGTCGGGGCAGTGGTGGCACATACCTTTAATTCCAGCAGAGGCAGGTGATCCCTATGAATTTGAGTCCACCCTGGTCTACAATGCCAAGTCCCAGGACAGCCAGAGAGGGCTACATAGAGAAACTCTGTCTTGGAAAACCAAAACAACAAGAAGTGTGTGTGTGTGTGTGTGTGTGGTGTGTGTGAAGAATGACCACATAGCCCATCACATGGCATGCATCAACAGTTAATTTAGCAACAGCAGTTTTACTCACAGGATGATTTAGGAACTTATGTTGATCTGCCCTATCAGTTATTTGGCCAATAATCGATATTCCTGTCTGTTTGTTGTGGATCTTGTCTTTGTGCTTAGGAACAGATGCAACTTTAGACGTGGTTGCCTGTAGTGTCTACCTTGAATGGAGAAGGGACTAGTCCCTGCTAATGTGACATCACTCTTATCTCTGTGTGCAGTTTAGAAATCAGATATGTCTGTGTTAGACTGGTAATCCCATCACATATAAATTACTGTTTTTAAGTAAATAAGAGAAAGCAAGTGTTAGACGAGAGTATCAGTTGGAAAAAAGGGTTCTTTTTATTCCTTGTCTCCTACATTACAAGACGAAAGTGTGTTCTTCTGTTCAAATTCTATAATCAACCATCAGGACAAAAGACATACCACAAAGGTATCTTAGCAGTTGCCAGTTGCTTATTAGTTAATATCTATCAGGTGAAGTTCTCAAATAACAAAATTGTTCAAGCCTCTTTTAAGAATGGTAACAGACTCTGGTTTGTAATTTGAAGGGGACGAGTAGAAGGTAAATTCCTAGGCTCAGAAAGAGCAGTTCTCCTGGGGACAGCCCTGTATAATTGGACTGCTAACAAAAAAGAATAGTTTACCAATACCAGTTAATTAACACTTCTCTCTCTGTTGGTTTTCTAGCCTGAGCCTCCGTCAACAAACAAATGGCAGCTGGACAACTGGTTGACCAAAGTCAACCAGCCATCAGTGCCCCTCGATGGTCGGGGGAGCACAGAGTCCCCCCGTTGGCGCCAGGAAAATAAGGATGGAGACTGCGGCACTGACCAGCAGCATCCCATGTCCAAAGACCCTCTCCCCAAGATTTCCAACAGAGCTCCACGAGGTCCCACTGAGGGGTCCCAGCCTGGGAAAAGGAACTGCCAGAAATCCCCTGCCCAACAGGAGCCCGCACCTCGGCAAACTATCGGAACCAAACAACCCAGAAAACCTGCCAAGGGCTCTGGCCAGGCAGAGCCCCAGGCCAGCTCTCAGGCAGAGAGTGAACCAGGATCCCTCCCCTATGGCTCGAAAGAGCAGACTCCCAAAGACAAGCCCAAGGTGAAGACGAAAGGCAGGCCACGAGCTGTGGGCAATAGGGAGCCTAAGCCTGAAGCTCCTGTGCCCAAGCCACAGGCAGCCGTGCCCACTCCCACCGAGAAGAAGAAGCACAAGAGTTCCCCAGCCCCCTCCAAGACACTCTCAGACCCTCAGCCTCCAAAGGACAATGCTGGGGACAGGAACCCCGAGCACTTTACCCTTGTCTCCTTGACTCAGAGCCAGGGTCCACCTCACAGTGGCAGGGGTGGCGGCAGCAGCAGCAGCAACAGCAGCATCAGGACTAGCGGCTGCCGACAGGCTGTGATTATCCAGGAGGATGGCCGCAAAGACAGACTCCTGTTACCCTTGAGAGACACCAAGTTGCTCTCACCACTCAGGGACACTCCACCACCAACGAGCTTGGTGGTGAAGATAACCCTAGACCTTCTCACTCGGATCCCCCAGCCCTCGGGGAAGGGGGGCCGTTCTAGGAAGACGGAAGACAAGCAGCTGCCATCAGCTAAGAAGCAGGACACTGAGAAGAGAAGCTGTGACCCCTCCAGCAAAGCAACCAAGAAAAGAAAGGTGAGTACAGGGACACCCATGCCTGGCAGTATACTCTGTGGCAGTATACTCAGTATCTCTTGAGTTGTCGACCAAGAGGCTGAAGCCTTTGCCCTCACTGCCTCTCTGGGGTTTTGGGGCTTGCACCCTCTTACTTCCCATTCTGCAGGCGGTCACTTGGGAAAGGGGCTCCGAGTCACTGAAGAGGGTAAACTTTCTCCACACCAGACAGCACTCCAAGGGCAGTTTTCTGTATATGCAGAGATCACTGTTTACTCTGTGGCAGGTGGTGTTTTTGTCTTGGAAAACATGAGTTAGAATGATAGTGTTCTGAATGTTTTGCTGCTAGGACTATTTAAACGTAGGGGTAAGAGATCTTGAGTAAAGTAAGCCAGTAGGGTGAGCTGCAGACACTTGAACTGCTGTTTAGTGTGAGTTTTCATGGGAAACCTGCCTTACTTGAGACTTTTTTTTTTTCATTACTTAGGCATGCTGCCAGTTTGGACAGTGTCTTATTTATTCTAAATTGTTGAGCTTTAGCTCTGTCTTTTTTTGCCTCTTTGTGATGAGGGAAGACTAGGGAGTATTCCCCCAGGGGCACTCTCTACCTGCCCAGATCTTGACACATAAGCACAAAAAGGGCCAACCGTCTTGCTGACAAGGGATAAGATTTAGCACTTATTGTGTGTATGAAACCTGTCTCACTTAGCTGTGGAACATGAGTTGAAAATAACAGGAAGGGTCATGAAGCTTGCTGTCATGTCCGAGACCCCACTGGTTTCTCCACCTGTTTAAAAGATACAGCCTGGCTCCAACACACTGAAAAGGGTGACTTCTCCAGAACCTGCTTGTCGGACAAATGAGAGTGTGTGTGACCACATCTTTGGGGTGACTCAGGTGCTTGCTGAAGATGCTGTTTGAGCTAGGAGACTTTTGGGTGTGTCTGTGTGTGGAGGTGAGAGTCTGTGTAGCCCTGGCTGTCTGGGAACATGCCATGTAGAGCAGGCTGACCTCAAACTCACAGAAATCACCAGCCTCTTCCTGTCTCCCAGTTAAAGGTCTGTACCACCTAGCCAGAAATATTTTAAAACTTTCAGAATGAGGTGTGTGTGTGTGTGTGTGTGTGTGTGTGTGTGTGTGTCTGTCTTGCTGTCTGTCTGTCTGTCTGTCTGTGTGTCTGTCTGTCTGTGTGTCTGTCTGTCTGTGTGTCTGTGTCCATGTCCATGTCCATCCCCTTCTGCCTGTCTGTCTCTCTCAGACAAAATGCTATCAAGGAATTTTTGGTGGGCCTGTTTGGAAAAAGTGTTCCTGCATCTACCATCTTAGAGCAGGTGTCGAGGATACACTAGAATACCTGCTCCTGCCAGCAAGTCTCCTATCACCTCCCCTCTTAGCTGGTTTTATATGGTCTCTGCCTTTCTGCTTTTTACTGGAGTGGAGCGGGGAGCATTGTCTCCTGTGCTGCCTTGTTAGATAGAGTTGTCAGGGATCCCAGCCTTCAGTAGGGTCTGGCTAGCTCCTCCCTCTCATCCCTTTGAAAGGTGAGCCTTCGGGCATGGCCCAAGGGAAGCTCATTTTGATTAGGCCGGGGAAGCATTTTGTTCAGCACATGGAGAAGTTATGATCTCATTTAATTGAGCATTATCGAGTTCACTTAAATGAGCTCTTCAAAGTGTCTGGTCCAAAAGAAACTGAGAACAAATGCTAGCTGTGGTGCCTCTTAGCATGCATTACCAAAGTGCATGCTGGAGCCCTGGCTCCTCACAGCTTTATCCTGCTCACTACCCTAAACTTCTCCAGCTCATGGGCCTCCCAGCCCTAGCTTGTGACTCCTCTAGAACTTGCCATTTGGTTCATGTGCTCTGATGGCTCTTGGCCCCCTCCTCTCACCCTCCTACCTACAATAAAAACCTTCCCTTCAACCATATGTTGGAGCAGTCATGTCCTCACTGTATACACAAAGTTGTGGCAAGCACCAAGAGATTTGGCTTGAAAGTCTGCCTGCGTCTGAGACAGGTCAAGATGGGACACATTGGTTTAAACCCTGGCTGTAACAAAGACCTCCCAAGCCCAACCACATTGTAGTCACCTGGGGCAGCAGCGGGCCCTCCCACTCAGGTATTTTGAAATTCCTAGGCAATCCCGATGCTCCCAGGGCCAGAAGCAGTGGAGCGCAGCCTTCCACAGTCACTGCTCATGAAAGCCAATGCTTGGGCAGAGAAATTGCTCCAGGTATTCTGCGAGTGTGGCTATCGCGGATGAGGCAGCCAGGGATTCTTGCCTGGAGTGTGTCATTAGTTAGAAGCTTGACTGAGAAGCTTTCAGGTAGGTGTGAATAAAAAGCCAGCTGCTGTGTGTTTAGCCCTCAGAGTCACATGCCCCTGAGTATGTTACTTCCTGGACCTCATTGCAGGAGGTATTGCGTATGTCATCCACTCCGTGCGTCAGCACTGTGACCGCCATTCAGGCCTGCCTGGCTCTGGAGCAGAGGTTATACTTACTAACTTCCTTTTAACTTGGGACTATTTCTTCCCAAATTTCTATTGTGAAGGCCTTCTAGTGGGGAAAAGGCTTCCTAACGATGTATTAGGGACATTTAAGAGTGTTCCAAATCCTTCACATTCATGTAGTTCGTTTAAAGGTCCCTCAGAACTTCTCCCTCTCCTGGATGAAATTTAGCAAAAACCCTCAAGAGGATTCACAAGTTATTAATGCTTTTCATGAGATATCAGAGACCATATGGCAGACCACGGATGGAGCTCAGCAGTGGACCACCTTGCCAGCACTATCGGGGCCTTGGATTCCAGCTCTAGCCATACAGACTGGAAACCAGGCAACAAGAAAGATCGATGGTGCTAACAGCTGTGGTGAAGCCATCCCCCGTGGCACCTGAGGGAACTAGATTAGGAATGGTTCATGAGGCACACTGGAGAAACTGAGGTAATGCATTTGAGTCTAGAGTGCTCGCTCCAACTGTTGCCTGCAGTTTAGAAGCTAAAGTACTATCTTCCACTTTTCCTTAAGTTAGGATTATGCCTCTGATTTGAAAACACTGAAGTTGGAGGCATCCTAAAAACATCCTAGCAAACATGGAGCTCCACGTGGAGTCCTACTATGTGCTCACTTTTTCTGTAGAAGATAGTTCTCACGAGTGGGTACTCCCTTGCTATTGTTGTTGTGTTGTTCTCACCGTGTAGCCCAGGCTGGAAGCCTGGCTCCTCCTGCTTCCTGCTCCCAAGTGTTGGGATGACAGTTGTATGCTTAAATATGTAGGTAGTCTTTCTTACTGGTCATTTCAACAAATACCGATAGAATCAAGCAGTTCACTGAAGCCTTGCTCTAACACAATTGATTTATTAACCAAGAAGCCATGACCTTTGGTGGAGGGATCAGTGTATCTATATATACTCATTTATTTTTGTGGACAGAGGAAGGGAAGTCATTGTGTGTGACAGGAAAAGGAGTGTTTTTTATGCTTGTGATGGTTACTTCTGCTATCCAAAGGCCAATTGTCCTTTCTTGCCCTTAATTCCCCCAGCTTATTAACCCCAAATTTTGTTCTTAGAGGTCAAAGGTATGAAATCTGATGCCTTGGAATTTATTAAAGTCTCGTAGGTTTCCTTTCTTGCCACCTGGCTATTTATATTGAAGGGAGAGCACGGCAGCCATGTAGCATCCCTAAGTCATCGGTACCTGTCTGTCCGCCTAACCAGGGAGGAGAGGCAAAGCTGGTCAAGTCTCCTCTCCGGTAGTGCTTTCTCAAGAATCTCATGGCTGCCCAGCAGATACACGCTCACTCCTCCTGGCCTCCCAGTCTGTCCTCACCCTCACCCTTTCTTTTGCGTACACATGTGTGTCCTGGGAAGATTCTTGAGAGTCACAGAGTTCAAGATCCATATTCTGACTCTGGTGACCGTACTCACTGGGACAGTTACAATGTACTTCTGGCTTCAAGCCTCCATTAACCCACGCTACCACCCAGTGCCCATGCACACCCCCCTTCTCCGAGACCCTAGGTTCTTTCTCAGATCCTCTTGTTTCCACCATCCTAGCCAAGCTCCCAGTATCCTTCCACGTGAATCAGAACTTGTCTCGTGACCTGAAGTGACTTTTGTCTGCCTTCGGTTCCCTTTGAACTGCAAGGCACCCTCCTGATGAGCCAGTGTAAGGCAGGTGCCAGGCCACTGTCCACCCTGGAGGGAGGGCCTCCCATTCTGTAGCACTTGGCACATCACCCAAAGGCTGTCTGACTGCACATGATGAGAAAAGCCAAGGGTGCATTGGGTTTGGCAGGCAGCTGTTGGCCCCTCTTGGGGGACATGATGAGAAAAGCCAAGGGTGCATTGGGTTTGGCAGGCAGCTGTTGGCCCCTCTGTGGGGGGTACAGGCAGCACTGGAAGCTTGTTCTCCTAGAAGAAGAATTCCAGCCCTGTGACCACATTCCCTAAGGTGGTGTGATTGGCAGAGAAATGTCCTTTTTCCTTCCTAAAGAATATAGTGTTGTCACCAAGAAAATGCTGAAGACCCCATGCCTCCTATAACTTATAGGTCTTGCTCATGGAATTAAAGTCTCAATTCCCAACACCTACTGCTATGTGTCCACATTTTGGTGACCCTCTCTTTAGTCCAGCATTTCCTCTCTGGGGAAGCCTAGGCCTTTCCAGACAGGAGTGCACAGTGCTCAGGGAGCATGAACTGGGGCCTTCTGTTTCTTTAATTCAATGGCGGCCTTTCTATTAGGTATTGGGTACCATGCTCCTGAGGTCTGGAATACCAAGAGAAAGGTAATGATTCAGGTGAGATGTAAACCCTAGCATTTTCACCTACCTGCCTTGAAGCTGATTTCCTATGTGCTGGCTCCTCTTGTGTCTCTGATTGGCACAGGTTCTAGTTATAGTCAGTTGATAAAGAGCATCTTGTCTGAAATTCACTTGCTGTGTGTTTAGGAGGTATGTGTGTGGTTTACTGTGATACCAAGCATATCCCAAGCAACACAAATACAACAAACAGAAATGGACTTCCCCTTCTGGACTTCAGTGTTTAGACAGTGTGTGTTTGGACAGTATGTGTTTGGTCTCCTCTCTTTTTGCATCATAAACTGCCTGGAAATACTTTCTGTTTAGATTCATGTTTTAGCATCTCACCTGTAAGTTAATCTCATCTGGATACGTGAGCAAATTCTTAGTTTTCTCCAGATGTGGAATTGTCACTTTGCTGCAGTGCTTGTGAGGGTATCTGCAGCTTTTAAAGCCCTGGGCCTTCGGGTGGCAGGGTGTTTAGGCACAAGTAGATACCTGTAGGGGTTTACTGTACCTGTGGCAGAAATTCTACTTTAGCTTTTCATTATAATCTTTGCCTCTCAACAAGAGGTGTGTTAGGTGCTACCCTCAGAGAGCCAGCCCTGTCACAATGACACTGAAGTCATCTTGTGCACACCTCACTTCTAAATTTCACTGTTAAGAGTCTGCTACTGGCTTATGCTCACAGTGGTATGGAACTTGAGGCATTTTAGTCATGGCTTTAGGCTTTCCTACCTCATTTCCCAGTCTTCCGTAACAAAAAAATGGTTACAACTCTGTGTATATATGTGCTTAGTATGTGTATGTATGTAGGTGGGAATGGTATGTGTGCATCTGTGCATAGGCCAGAACAGGATATTGAATACCCTGCTGTATCACTTTCTGCCATATTCCTGAGACAAGGTCTCTCACTGAAATCAATTCTGGCAGCCACTCAGCCCCAGCAATCCTCCTGCCTCTTCCCCATCACAACATTGGGGCATGCGCACTATCATGCCTGGCTTTTTATGTGGGTTCTAGGAATTTGAACTGATGTCCTCATGCGTGTACAGTAAGCTCTTACACACTGAGCCACAGATGATTTGTTCTTGTTTGTTTTATCAAGACACGGTTTCTCTGTGTAGACCCAGCAGAGAACATATATGGCATGAGAGTGGGGGATACCAGGGGAAGAAGGGTCCCCAGCAAGGTCCCCTTTGAGGGGGAGATGAAGGAAAAGGAGGACAGATACAAATGCAGTATCTATGAAATGCTAAATTTAAAGAACTGAAGAGAATGGAGGGAGAGATCAATGTAGAGCCCAGTGTGCAGATCACCTTTAGCAAGCTGCGTGGGTTGGTGCTGCCCAGGAAGACATGTATGTAGTAAACCAACTATTTTTCATTAGTCACATTAAAATGGAAACCAGGAAAAGGAAGCTAGTGACAATTTTAATAATTTTAAAAACCTCATGTATCAAATACCTTGTAGACGTTTACTCAGTATTGGAACTATTCCATTCTATTGGTTTTTGTACCAAATCGAAAGTCTTTCCTCACTCTGGGATAGCCAGGTTCAATTCTAGGAGCTCAGGGCCTGCAGTCATGGCTCCTTCGTGTGGGCAGAAGACAGAGGGCAAGTGCCTTCCCTTGGCTTACAATCTTGTGTTGTACTGGTGCATTCCATCTGAACACTCTCGCTTCTGTGCATACCATACTACTAAGAACAAGTATCTCTGTGTGCCTCCCTGGGCAAGTCCACTTCAAAACAAACCATCCACAGAGGAATGGAAGCATTCAGCTGTGGGACTGGATGGAAGCACACTCTGGGGTATATGCACAAGGCCAGGGGGAGGGAGACATTTTTTCCTTCTTTCTTTTTCTTTTTCTTTTTTCTTTTTTTTTTTTTTTTCCAGCAGGACCAGGCTGTTTAGTGTGTGGGCATTCAATGGCCTTATGCATATTAATATCTTCTTACTTATTAGAGAGATTTGGGGTGAGGATGCTGCAGTGGTGAAAACTGGAACCCTTGCTGCCCGTTACTGTGTGATGAGTGGTGAGAACTGAATCCCCACATAGGTTACTGTGATAAGTGGTGAGAACTGGATACCACCTCCCCCCCCCCAACAACAACAATTACTTGGAGCACTTTCTTTCTTTATGGCTCAAAGATCTGGGCTTGGTTGTGGATTGTCCTGGACTGACTGTGTGTCCCAGATTTCTAGGTCAGGGAACTCACAGCCAAGAGCTTTGCTCTCACTGCTCCGGAGATGAGAGACTCTTGCTCAAAATGTCACCACCCACCTTCTGCTAGAGAGAACATGCTGTTCTGAGTGCCCCAACTGCAGAGGCCACCATGCCATCCTGTGATTTTTTTTTTTTTTTTTTTTTTTTTTTTTTTTTTGCAAGGGTGATGTGTGTGTGATGTCAGTGACACATGGGAATGGCTTTTGCCATGAACACTTGCTTTTTTAAAGTAATTAAATGTATTTTGCATTATAGAAACAGGCTCTTCTAAGTTACTTAAATCTTTATTTAGATTCCCTTCCGTAGTCCTACTGAAGTCATGCTCTGTCACTTAATCAATTGTCTGTCTGTCTAAAGAGGTCAATGCTGGCTTTCTTCCTCAGTCAGGATCTACTTTTTTTCTTTATTTTTGGAGACAAGTTCTCACTCAACCTAGTGAGAATTCAGCAAGCCAATTATATCTCCAGTCCCTTAATCAAGTTCTTTTGAAAAATAAAAATGTATTTCTTCTGGGGATGGTGTGGGGAGGTTGAAGACACAATAGAAGGCAGAAAATTAGAACTCCCAAGGACCCATTTTTGTATGCTGCTGTTTCTACAGGATATTCAGGGAACATCTAGCTCATTTCTTTTTCAATAGTACTTTTTATTTTTCACTAGAGAAGAATTTAAGTATTGTATCTGAAGATTAAACATAAAATAAATTAGTTTTGTAAGTAGATGGTCTTACAAAGAAGTGGGGAGATGCCACAAAGTCACCCCCATGTTATGCAATGTGAATAGCATGCTTTACCGATTTTTGTTTTGTTCAGTTGCTGAGTCCCTGAACATAATAATAATGCTTTTAAATATTTGGAAACATGATGATGTGTTGAAGTCCATGTCCTCTATCATCTGTTATTCTTGACACCTTCCCTGCTGAGTATGAAGAATTCCCTTTATTCATGCCAAATATGTCTCAATAGAAACCACATCAAAGTTAGAACATCCTGGAGTCTCTTACTTCGCCACAAAGAAGAATGCAATCATGTCATTTCAGGAAATGGATGGGAGTAGAAATCATAGAAATTAACCAGACTCAACAAATCCCACATGGTTTGTCTTATGAATAACCTATAGTTAAAAATATAAAATTGCTTGGGTATGGTAGCACACACCTTTAATCTTAGCACTTGGGAGGCAGAGGCAGATGGAATTTGAGGCTAGCCTGATCTACACAGTGAGTTCCGGTACAGCTGGAACTACATAGACAAATCCCTTCTGTCTGTGTGTGTGTGTGTGTGTGTGAGAGGAGGAGAGAGAGAGAAGAAGAGAGAGAGAGAGAGAGAGAGAGAGAGAGTGAGCAGGAGAAGGGATATATATATATATATATATATATATATACATATATGAATGACATAAAGTAGAAGAGGAAATATATACAGACATAGATGACAAAGTAGGAACCGGGGTATATCTATATCATCTATCTATCTATCTACTATCTATCTATCTATCTATCTATCTATCTATATATATATATATATATACACACACACACGCGCACATATGTGAATGACATAAAGTAGGAAGACTATGTACACAGGTATAGGAGTGATGTAAAGGAGGAGAGGAACCCACAAGCATCAAGGGTGGCCAAGAGAAAGCACTAATCAATGTACATTATGTGCACGTTGACTGCATTAGACTGAAGCCCATTACTTTGTTAGATTGCTTTCTCCACCACACCGCACAGTCTCTTAAATGTGAGCGAGGGCACTACTGTAGGCACAGGTGTCCCCAGGAGTCAAATGAGGTCCCTTTGCCATTTCTGAACTTCCTTCTCCCACTGTATGGTGGTTGCTAACTCTCGGCTCTGTTTATTACCTTACAATAGCAGAGTGACGCAGATAAAGACCATGATAACAAGAAGATCAGATTGGAGAAGGACATCCAGTCACACTGCACTGCATCTTCATTTTCCCACAGTGAATCCTCCAAAACGAAGTGAGTATGGCATTTGGAAACAACTGAGGATGGATGACCGCCTTGGGTGATGACAGGACAGAGGCTTTCTCTTGCACTGTAAAAGTGACTTGTTAAGCCAGTGGTGTGTTCATTCGTGGGGTCCCATCCACGAAAGTCTCATGAGAATTGACAGCCCCCTGGCAGCAAACCACTAAGGAGCACTTCCTAGACACTGAGGGTTATTATTCTCTCAGAAACCCTTTTACAGCAGTACTGAGAATGAAGTCAGGGCCTTGGACCCACTAAGCAAGGTGCTCTGCCACCCAGCCATTACTTGCCAGTGTACAGTTCAGTGGTGTGGAACACTTACAGCACACAGTGAGGTCCTAGACTTGATCCCTGGAACTGTGTAGGCACAGGGGCAGAGAAGAAAAGCACTATCACTATTTCCTTTCTTTTTGTCGTTGTCATTTGGTTTTAAACAGGATGGGAAATGGGTAAAATTTGCCCTGGAGTTCCTACTGGTTCTTGCTTGGACTTGGGTTCAGTGCTCTGCCTTAGACAGTAGTGTCAAGATGATGTGACTTCTCTCAGGCTTATCCAAGAAATTGCCTCACAAGAGATTCTGTAAACACAAGTGCATCACAAGTGCTCTTTGGGGGTGTGGATGGGCAGGGGTGTGCATGCCATCAGATGCAGGAGAGTCACAGCTGAGCTTGCCTGTTATCGGGTTAAGATACAGATAGGTGAGAGATGGGAATGGTCAGGTAATCGTTCAGCTGAGTGGAAACTCCACAGTTGGTTGCTAACCGAGAGTTAGGCTTTACAGAGCATCAGGACATCACTAAAACCTGGCCCTTCTGCGTCATAGTTGCAGGCTCTGTGACACTGCAGTCTTTGGTGCCCCTGACCATTTCCTCTTTCCGTAAGCAAAGGACAAAATGTGATGTAAATTCTGCTTTGACTGCCAATTGCTCTCCAGGACACCCAGGACCTCCTCGGAGTCCTCAAAAAAGGAAATGCTTCCTCCACCACCTGTGTTGTCGTCATCCTCCTCCTCCTCGTCCTCCCAGAAGTCAATCAAAACTTCACACAAGAGGTCAAAGCCGGATGTAGACTCCTGTAGTCAGGACCCTCCCAAAAGGGCCAGCAGCACCAAGAGCAACTATAAGGACTCTTCCGTCCCCAAGCACAGAAAAGTGCAGGCCAGTGGCACTGAACACAAAGTAAGCAGTGGCAGTGACAGTTTGGGCTCTCACATATGCCAATGTCAGGACATTTGTCTGTTTTAGTATGACAACCGCAAGTTGCTTTTAAAGAGCTAATGGGGGAGGGGTCATCTATTAAAGTGAACCAGAGAAAAATCACACTAGCTTTCATCATGCATTCTTATGACATGTTTAGATGCTTGGCTTAAGAAATGGGCTAGTTCATTTCTTCGTTTGGAACTTTAATCTCAAATACTTCAATTAGTGATCACAACAGGAAATAAGTCAGGCGGCCTGGCTTCCAGTTGGCCTCTGTCATGCTGGGGACGGGCAGGCTTTGCTGAGTGTTGCCTGCCCTTTCCCTGTAGCCCCAGTTAAAATCTGTAGCTCCGGAAGTGCTGGACCAAGCCGACTGTGGTTTGACATCCTGGGAACTCTGCTCTCCTGGGCTTTGGAGGGCTGTTGCTGCTAGGGTCCTGTCCCCTGAAAAGGTGATGTGTGTGTGTTTTACAGGGGTCTTCTGGAGAAGCTGCAAACCCTTTCCCAGTGCCTTCTTTGCCAAATGGTACCTGTAAACCAGGGAAGCCACAAGTGAAGTCTGACAGGTGAGCCCCTTCCCTACCCCCTGCCCCACCCCCTTTAGATCCCTCCTTCTTCTTCATCTTCTTTTGCCCCAGGTAGTCATTTTAGGTCTGTAAGACTCACATCTGCCTTTTCGGTTTTTTTGTTTTGTTTTTGCAGACAGCAAGCTGACTTTCACATGAAGGAGGCTAAAAAGTTGAAGAACAAAGCAGAGGCAATGGTCAGTCCTGGTTATGGCCTTGGTTAAACAGTCTCCGATTAAGGGCAAAAACTGTGGTCTCCCTTCTGCCATATTGCACACCATACAGTGTATATGTGGGGGGGATGGGCAGCAGGTAGGACGACTGTGTGCAGGGGGTTCTGGGGTGAGGACAGCAGCAGGAGTGTGGCTGCTATCAGCCACATTGTAAGCAGGATAATCAGGGTCTCAATGACTGAGGCCTGAGGTGGCTTGGGGGAATTGTTCAGTCTGATTGTGTACAGGCTTACAAACTATCTGAGTGCAAGCTGATCTATGGGATGTCGGTCTAATATATGAATGGTCTCTCTCTCTCTCTCTCTCTCTCTCTCTCTCTCTCCCCCTCTCCCCCTTTTCCCCCTCTTTTTGGTCAATTCACTCAATCAGTCCTTGAGATGTACAAAATGATTGACTATTAATTCAGTCTGTGTCCACCCTAAATACTATGCCGGGTGAAGAAGCCTAATTCGATCTTATGCACTGATCTGAGGGGATAGCTGGCCATGGGAAGGCAGTGTCAGGTGCAGACTATGAGCATCTTCACTTGTGACTGACTCCTTTAATTGTCCAGTGCCCCCATCCTTACTTGCCAGCCACTGAACTTCTGGAAGGGGATGGTTTGGTGCTAACTGTAGACATCAAGTATGTTCTTATGTCCTGCAGCATGCTATTCGGTGGGGTCACATGTGTTGGGGTGGGGATTGTGCCACAGTCAGAAACAACTCTCAGAAGCCAGTTCTCTCTGTCCACCCTGTGGGTGGGTCCCAGCGGGCCAGCCCATGTCACCATGTTTGGCAGCAAGCACTTTTGCCTGCTGAGCCATCTCATTAGCCTCCTGGAAGGCACTCTGGACAGATTGCTCCTGAAGACCCACAGGTAGATCTGTTGGCTCTTTGTGACTCAGCTGCCTCCTTTTGGCTACCAATTGGAATTTGGCCTGTGCCTTTCTACTCCAGGTTGTAGGCCCCCTGTTTACCAGATAAAATGGTCCTTAGTTATCTCCCATGCTTGGGGCTGTGAGGGATGGTGGCAAGCCCCTTTGGCCCTAGTATGGGCACTTCCTTGTGCCCAGGCTGTGGGCAGCTCGGCCTGTGCCAAGTGTGTTGCCCTTCTGCTGCCTTTTCAAGATGCTGGAGCCCTGCGACTCTTTCAGGTTTTGGGGCAACTGCTCTGCACCATAGGCAGGTACCAAAAACTTACTCAACCTTAGACACTGTTAGCTTTTGCGTATTTTAGTCAAACAGTTATACTCCAACAGTTTGCTCTTTGCCTAGGCTCAGGTACATCTTTCTCCCCAGTGCGCCAGGACCCCCTGCTCTGGCACTGTGTGCATATACACATGCAGGCAAAAACACCCATGTACATGACAATAAAAGAGAATTAGAGCCCCATCAATGAAGCAAACTAGTCATAATCTATACAGCTGATTGAGGTGTACTGGTTTGACATATTATTTCTGTCACTACTTTTTTGAGCTTATGCTCTGTTACTAAGTGACTTCTGAAATCTGCAAAGCTACAGTGTCTAAAATGCAGGTGCATGTGACACCCCAGTTTGTCCCTCTAGTGGTAAGGTGCAGGTAGCAGTAGCAGGGGAAGAGCTCTTCCCCTATCCCTGGTGCACAGCAACAACACATGGAGACCCAGAGCAGCCTAAGGTGGATCTGTCTGCCTCCCTGTTTCCAACAAGCATCTTTATTTACTGTTTTCCTCCCCTCCGAACAGAGCAAATGGAGGCATTAGCAAAACCTACAAGCTGGCCCATGTTAGCCTGCTGTGCTCAGTGTGTGTCACATATGCCATGTGCAGACAAACGGGCTGTTTGCCACACTTCTGCTTAGCTGAATTGGCTGTGTGTCACTCAACAAGATCAAGTGACCAAATGTATATTTAGGATTAGGCAGACCACCAGTATAGGATTTTGTTTATATTTCCTTGAAGGGGATTTTGAGAGTTTGTCCCTGTTGGCCCAGAGCATGTCCCTACAAAAGACCTACATGCCAAAGGAGATTAATCATCTGTTGGATCATCAAGTGATCAGTTAGATATTTTATATGAGGCCTATAAGACAATAAGCCTTGACCTCCACAAAGAAACTGGTGACTGTTAAGATGCTGGCTTGCCTGCATCTCAGAGGTAGCCAGTGAGTAACTGCATTGCAGCCGCTAACAGGGCTGTGCCCTTTGTGCTTGGTGAAGTTCTGAGAGTCGTCTTAATATAGAATTCCTTTCTTTTCCCTAGTGAATTTTTCTAGAAGCTACTTTTCATAGGGTCAGAGCTGACCGCTATGGCTTGTCATCTTGTTCTATTTATTCTTTCTCATGTCTCTAATCAGGAGTAAATAAAGACAGTGGAGAAGTTACAGGGCAGAATGTGTGTTCTTTTCCTACAGGTGGACAAGGCTGGAAAGGCCTTCAAGTATTTGGAAGCCATTCTGTCTTTCATTGAGTGTGGGATGGCCATGGAGTCTGAAAGTTCAGCAAAGTCTGCGTTCGCTGTGTACTCAGAAACTATAGACCTCATTAAGTAAGTGCCGGGGTGTTCTGCCTCCCTCCAGACCTCTCTCTCCCCCTGTCTCTGTCTCTCCACCCCCCCTCACCATGTGAAGACAGCTGAAGAGGAGCCTTGGAGAGGCCCCTGTAGCTCAGTGGCAGCACCTGCCTGTCATGACCCAGGTTCTGGGTTGGTCTACAAACTTTTTTCTTGTCCTGAATTAAAGTATGTTGTGGATGAGGGAACACAGGATAACTGGGTGCACCCAGGCCATTTTCCTGATTCTCTGGGGTGCTTTTCTTTCCCAGCTTGTGTTCCCTGCCCTTTGTCGGGATTTAGTGAGGATGTGGCCAAGCTTGGTTTCAGGACAGAGCAGGCTCATGGCCAGCGGCTTGTGGTTGCTCTTAACCCCTGCACTTCCATGTTGCACACATGTTCGTGCCCTCTGGAGGGGAGCCAGCATACCTGGGCTCCTGTGACTGATCTGCTTAATCTCATGCACTTTTGTATCTTCCTGCAGGTTCACAATGTCACTGAAATCCTTCTCGGATACCACGGCGCCAATACAAGAGAAGATATTTGCTGTTTTATGGTATGTATGTTTTTATTTGTTGTATAAATAGCACTTTCCTTTGAAAAAATTATCTATATAATGGCTGTCCTGGAACTCTGAGTTTGAAGCCACTCTTGTCTGTCTAGAGATCTGCATGCCTCTGCCTTGGCAGTGCTGGGATTAAAGGTGTATGCCAGCACACCTGGCTCTAAATTTATTTTCTTGAAGTGAAAATTGTGGCAGAAGGCAGGTGAACCCCACTGTGGTCATTAGGAAGTGGCATCTGCTGTGCTCTTCTGCCCCCTTAGGGCTTCTTTGGTCTCAGGATTCAAGTGATATTTGTATATTTGTTTTCCTGCCATTGTTTACTTTTGGAGGCGGTATATGATATGGTGAGATGCTAGAGAGGAGAACCCAATGGGCTCACAAGGGCTGATTTCAGTGTGTCTTGTAGCGGCAGCTCTGACCATGAGGTCATCCACAATTCATGGTAACCTCTGCTTTCATTCACAGCTTGCCCTGCCAGTCCCTGTTGAACATGGCAATGTTTCGCTGTAAAAGAGACATAGTGATGAAGTATTCTCGCACTCTTAGTGACCACTTCAAGAGTTCTTCCAAAGTGGCCCAGGCACCTTCTCCATGCATGGCAAGGCAAGTGTTAAATATGGCTAAATAATACAGTCAAGTCATTCACCTCTTGCTTATGTGTATGTGACTGGATTTTTCAAAAATCATGTAGTTCTGCCGGGCATTGGTGGCGCACGCCTTTAATCCCAGCACTTGGGAGGCAGAGGCAGGTGGATCTCTGTGAGTTCAAGGCCAGCCTGGTCTCCAGAACGAGTGCCAGGATAGACTCCAAAGCTACACAGAGAAACACTGTCTCAAAAAACCAAAAAAAAAAAAAAAAATCATGTAGCTCACCTTTATGTGCACCAGCTCTTTAAACCTAAACCATTAGCTACCTTTGTCCCTCTGAGAAACAGGTATAAACTACATTCAGGTAGATAACATACAAGGTACAGTGGTTCCCTCTTACCTGCCAGCAGGTACACCCCAAGATTCCCAGTGGGCTGCCTGGAACCCCAGCTAGTGCTGAGCCTTTGGAGCCCTCCCTAAGCTGCATCTTTTGTTGTACACATTCTGGTGTGAAGGCAGGAACAGCAGGAGATTAATAACATGGCTGAGCCTGTGTGGGCTCTGAAGCAGTGAACTTTCTGAGCGAGTGTGGGTCTCTTTTTTTTTTTTTATTATCTCAGCACCACACAAAGAAATTAACAATAATAAACAGTTTTAATACACAGTAATGAGAGTTTGAGACTGTGCCCTCTCTGTTGAATCAAGATGAATGATGATATTTTGGGTCATGGTTTGCTGCAGGTAGCAAGTTAGGCTGTGGATAAAGGGAGGGACTTCATGTGGCCTCTTAGATACAGAGAAGATTGGCATGGCCCCTGTGCAAGGTGACACACAAGTTTGTGAAGCGTTACACAGTACAAACAAACAAAAGCCATCTTGATGGTAGCTAGTCCAAGAGCACACGCTGTCAGTCATGTGATTTAGCAAGGGTGGCCTTTTGATAACAGTCCTCACAGCAGCAGTAACCACCACCCTGGGCAGCTCCCTCTTGAGTGTTTTGGCAGTATGTGGCAGCTTCTGCCACATCTTTCTGTCATGGTTATGTGATTGAGCTGTCGTCTCCTTGACCCCAACTGAAGCATGTGAACTTGTGGGACTGGGGCCTAGAACCAGTCACTGTGCCCAGCCTGCTGCTGGTCTATTGGCCTTTACTGACTCAGTAGGAGTTTTTAAGAGCCAGGCAAGCACTTCACCTCTGTGGTGCTGTGACCCAGGGAAAGGAAGACAAATGCCTAGAAAGTGATGATCTGGGGGCAGCTCTGAGTCAGACCTGAGCGGGTTTTACTGCTGAGGGGCAGTACGGCTCAGTGGCGCCTGCCTATGATTTAGAACCCAGCTCTGTAGAGGGAGTGGGACGGGGGGGGGGGGGGGGGGGGGGGGGGGGGGGGGGGGGGGGGGGGGGGGGGTGGGAGTCCCAGAAGGTGAAGACTTAGTTCAGATGTGCTGGGAATACAGGCCAGTCTTCCAGGTCTGCCTTTGATCTTGTAAGAAAGACTTCAGCAATGATTATTGTTTTTAGGCTGCAGTTCTAAAGATAGTAGTGTGTGATCTGCTAGTTTGTGATTAATCAAGTCTCTTTCCATCCTTGCAGAAGCACAGGCGTCCCGTCCCCGCTCTCCCCAATGCCTTCTCCTGCCAGCTCTGTAGGGTCCCAGTCAAGTGCTGGCAGTCTGGGGAGTAGCGGGGTGACTGCCACTGTTAGTACTCCAGTCACCATCCACAACATGACCTCCTCCTATGTCACCATCACATCCCACGTCCTTAAGGCCTTTGACCTTTGGGAACAAGCAGAGGCCCTTACAAAGAAGAATAAAGGTGAGTGGCCCATCAGCAGCAGGCAGTGTCGGGTAGATGTGGGGGTGTTTTGGTCCATGTTGTATCTTAGGCAACAAGAGATGGGTAGCCATTCTTACCCCCTCTGCTCTGCTTCATAGCCCAGTCTCAGGTCTTTCTTGAGGTCTGTGGTGTGCGCCCGATCTCTGAGGTTGGCATCACTGTTTCAGCCTGAACTAAAATGGTAGCAAAAGGACAGAGCTGAAGTGGAGATGTGGTCTGGTTTTCAGCCCCTTGGCTCAGCACATTTGAGATGAAGCAGCATGGCCCCAGGGTTGTTTGTTTGTCTTCAGCATTTGTTACACTCTGAGATATACAGCATAGCAAACATTATTGAGATATATCTGGGGAAGGATTGGGAGCTCCAGGTTTGAGTCGGGGGAAGAGGATGGTGCTTGTGCCAGCCAAGTTCACACACAAGTACCCAGTGGGACAAGGTAGCTAGCGCTCTAGCTCTCGATCCCTCCACAGCCTCTTTGCCTTCTTGGCAAACTCTCCCCTCTCCCGTCGTGCACTCACTGATCACAATGCATCAGTGATCACTACACACACCAGCCACTATTCTAGGCATGAGTTATGTACTCAGAAGATAGGGCTGGAGCCAGCACTTATATAGACGAGTATGCAAGGTGAGCCACAGGATATTGTGGGGACACTGTCTCCGGACTGTTTTATATTTTAACTTGATGCTGTACATGTATTTACTTATGTTTGATTTGGATTTTCCTGCAGAATTCTTTGCCCAGCTCAGCACAAAGGTGCGTGTCTTGGCCCTCAACAGCAGCCTGGTGGACCTGGTGCACTACACAAGACAGGGTCTGCAGCGGCTGAAACAAGCACCCAAAACTCCCTAATGTGGGCTGGGCTTACTTGATGTCCTGGAATGTCTTTGCACAATCGGAAGCCTTGATCCAGTGTAGACAACTGTCTGATTGGGATGTCACACTCAAGAAGTGAAGCACCGAGAGATGGCCAGAACGCTTGCCCACTTACAAGAGCTGTGTTCACGGCCATTGGTTGGACACTGGTCAGCAGAGCCGATGGTGGTAAATGATCTGCCTTTCCTAACGGAAGGACAGAAGTGCAATGAAGCCTAAATGGCATATGAATGGTCTAGCAACATTTCTGGTTTTGTTCTTGTTTTCTGTTTGAACAGTAGCATACAAGCTGCAAGTGACAGCCACTTCAAGTCTCACAGCTGATTCCTGTCATCTCAGTAGCCACACTAGTTCACTTCCAGAAGGAATTTTTTTTGAATAATTTTTGGTGAAGGGTTTTATGGATATATATTTTTTCTTTTCAAGTTTTAAAAGAAACATTGTTTAATAAATTCTAATGGCCGCCTGTAAAATAGAAGTTGTGAAGGACTCCGCTGTGCCTCAATTCCTGTAGTGAACAGTGGCTTGGTTGACACTGAGTGTTATCCTTTAGAGATTGAAGGTGACGACCTGCCCCCACCCCCAGTGCCTAGAATCCTGCACATAGTCTCGCTCTGGTCTCTCTGGCTGCACTGAAAGCAAACCCAGGTCAACCCTAGAGGAGTGGCAGTATCTAGATCCAGCATCCATCTTAAGGTCTTCCCCACATCCCAGGAAGCCTCACACTTCCTCCCACTGCCACACTCCTGGATAGCGACTGGCTAAGCAGCACCCTCGGTTGCTTTTTACATTCCCCACCATGTGTGTGGGCAAAGGGAGCCAGTGTTTGCCTTGGGCTGGACTTCATTATCTACTAAAGTCCCAGGTGCTGACGGTGCCGTGGCAACTCGTGCATCAGTGAAGGAAAGCGAGATCTTCTTACAGAGGCTGTATTTTTCTGCTACAAATTATATTTATAGCAAAACTCAACTTTCCAAAGCCCTTGATTATCCATGGGATCCTGGCTCCCCGAGAGGATGTGGAGATTTGGGGCTGAGGAGTTAATCCAACTTAAAGAAATTCATTACCACCCATCTTCACTTCAGACCGTCTTCTCAGGTACCATGATTCGATGATGTTGAAGAGGACCTGTGACCTCCCCAAGCTATGTACCCCACCCACATTAAACCAAGCCCACTTGGACAGAAGGCAAGAGGACACACTCAGAATTCACCTCTGCTCATAAGCACAGGCCTTTCACTGAAACTGCGAAGGATATTACTGGAATAGTCTTGAGTGCAGTGTTTTTTAAAAGCCAATTCTTTTTACTCCTTCTAGAAAGTAAAATTTGCACGGGTGTTCCCACTTGGTGGAAGCATGTTACGGCTTTTCCTCACTCACCCTGTCTCTGCTTCCTACAAGCCATGCTGTGTGTCTGTGTCTATAGATTTGTGAGGGTGCCTGTGGTTCCTGGGGTGGTGGACGAGAAGACTTTCTTGGTACTTTGGCAAATCTACACAGGACTGCAGGTGAGTGTGATGCCAGGTGTCTGTGTGGTCTTGTCCTGCTTTGGATAATACCAGAGAAAGGTGCAGATCTGAGCGTAGACTGGCTGTGAGTTGAGGAAGCAGTTCTTTGTATTGATGATCTGAAGAACTTGGTAGCCGAGCTGCGGCACTTGGTAGGTTGTCCCTGGCACTTCATCACCTCTTGTGGGCTCTTCAGGATCTTCTCCCTTCTCCCATGGCTGTCTGTCTCTTGCTGTAGTTTTACAACAAGCTGCTTGTTGCTTGTGACTGGTTCTGGTCTAGGCACATTTTGCCAAAGCCCATGTGTGTCCTATCAGCAGACCCTGTCTGTGCCCCTTGACTGAACACCTTCAGCCAGTGCAGGAAGAATGGGCTGCCCCAGCCTTTGTACTAGATGCGTTTTCTCAACTCTGTATACTACAATTTCATTTGTACCTTGAAAACTAATTAATGAATTTGGACAGACCTGTTTACACCAGTTTGGTCTGTAGTTATGTTTTCCCACAACACTGTACCTAAAGAGAGAAAGCCTCCAGCTGCCTTTATAGTAGAGTGAAGCAAAGTGGCTGGTCAGTGCCTTTACTGCTCACTGTAGAAACCTGAAGAATCTTTTTAAGCTATTTGCACTTTTCATTGTATGCTTACAGTCCCCAAAGCCACTTTTCCCCCTGAGGTAGTTAATTTGGAAGGACTATAAAATTAACCCGCTGGTCTTGTAACCACAGAAGAGCATATGGTTTCTTGGTGAGGCAGCAGCATAGGAGTGAAAAGTAATCTTTGCTTTGTCACTACAAAAGGTGTGCATGGTCTGTCTGCAATATAAAGTACAGGGATCCACTTTTTCCCAAGTGTTGGATGTTTTTCTTTTGGAAATAATTAAAATTTGACACATGTAAAAGCCCTACTAGATAATAAAAGAAAGCATGTCACTAAAACCAGTCATTCTGTTGAGGTGCCAAGAGGGCAGGCCACATGGGAGAAGGAGGGCCCAGCAAGTACCTGATTTATTGTAATGTGTTGACAAAAAAACGTTTATCCATCCATCCTCTGGACAGACAGGATTCAACCCCCCCCCCCCCCCCCCCGCCCACCAGGGATGTCTGCTGTGGGCTCTTTCCCTATCCTAATTGAAAATGTGCCTTAACTGACACCGTATGTATTGATGTTAGGGACAGGGCCCCTTCTTAGTGTTCCTGTTTCTGAAGCGCTGTGTGCTCCACACATAGCTATGGTCTCTTGATGCAGAGGATGACAGGTTTGTCATTTGTGCCTTTGTTGACCAAACAATTTCTAAAGTCATGCTGTTCCTTTCGCCACAGCTTCAAGGGTTTGTTTTCCTTTCTGGCTTTGTGAAGTTTGAGGTGTATTGGTGCATCTTAAGATAAAGGAGTTGGGCTTTAAAAAAAAAAACAAAAAACAAACCCTAAAATCTTTCCATGCCTCCTACAGATTCCTTCTTTCTCTTGATTTTCCCAACACTACAAAAACACCTTTGAAAATGTACCACTTCAATTGTTTCAATCTTTACCACTGCTTAGCAGTATTTAAATCTCCCAAGGATATTTTGGGCTCCTTTTAGAAACATGGAAGTGTAGATTTTTCTCACTGAAGAATGAGCTACTGCTTTGCAGCTGTGGAGATGGCTAGGCTGTTTTGATGCCTCCCTCTCCCGGCTGCCTCCTGTTGGTCTTCGTCCATTTGGAAATAATGGATGTGAGGATGTTTCCTGTGCCTTTGGTCTGTTGTCCTGTGGAAGGGAAGTTTAAGGGCAGAAGGGCATGGTATTGGGATTTTCCTTCAAAATCTGTAAGTGGCATTTCTGCCAGGTAATCTATCCTCCAGTGTTCGGTCCAGTCATGCTGGCTTCCCAGTGAGAACAGTTGCCTCATGGCCACGCTCTTGTTGATGGTGCATTGACAAGCATGTTTCTTCAGGTGGCTGGAGATTTCTTGGGTGAATCACACTATTTTCTGTTCCACTGTACATCAGACATCAGCAGTTACTGTGATGAACAAAAAAGTGCCTCTTTCCCTACCTAAGAGGGAGCTGGAGGACAGGAAGGACGCCTAGAGCTCCCTGCGAGCTCTCTCTGCTCCTAGGACACTGGAATAAGGCCACTGACAGGCTGGGCTGTGCCATGGTTGACTTAACGAAGATGGACTCTTTGCCTAGGTGTTTTAGCAATACTCAGTACAGGCAGTATTAAGTTTGCCTTTGTTCAGGCCATGACTTGTATTGCTAATACTGCATACCCTCACGATATCAAGCACACACTGTTCATGTAGGGGTGTGGGCACATGTCCCAATTTTGTTTTAATATTTTCTGAATGTGATCGTGTTTTGGATGATACCTGAGCAGGGTTGCCTTTTTTTATTTATTACCATTATATATTATATATTATATATTTTCTTTCTTATGTTAGAGGAAAGTCAAATTTTGGTATTAAAATTGCTTTAAGAAGGAATAGATTGTCCAAGTGATAATGAAAATCACTGGTATGTCTTTAAATGAGTTTTTCTTTGATTACCATGGAATGATGTGCCAGCTCTCACCAGCACAGTGCTTTGGTAAGCAGGCTAGGGAGGCACTCGTGCTCCCAGTGAAGATGTGCAACAAAAAGCCGGGGAACACCACGTTTTCATCAGCTTCGCAGTGGCCTGCAAACTTGGCTTTTGTGAATGAGATTTAGCTGCCCTGTAGAGTACTTGAAAGAGGCAGACATGATCTGTGAGAGGATGCTTTTTTTTTTTAAAGAATATCTGCAAAAGATCGTTCCAAAGATAATGTGCCACAGATCTTTTAATTTTCTCTGTAATGAGGATTAAGTGCTGTTTTAAAAATGTAATTGTTCATCTTCAGTCTTTCCACAAGATCAAACTGTAGAAAAGAATATTTAATAAAAATTTAGAGAAATCATTGGGGTTGAGCCTGTGGTTTTTGTTTTGCCCCAATATGGTGATTCTTGTTTGGTGGGCCAGGGTCTGTCTGGCTCCAATGCTGAGCTCAGGCTCACGGGTCCTCCTGTCTTCCTTTCCCAGTGCTGGCACAAGCAACCATGCCAGGCAGTATGCACAGTTGCCAGCTACCATCAAAGTGAGTTTCCCACACCTTTCTGCTGTGTTCACAATATCTTTGTTTATACTGTTGATGTGGCATTTCTTTCCCCACATCAAGACAAGCTTGTAGAATCCTCAGCTGTCTGGTCCTAAAACACCTCAACAATTGCTTAGAATTAGACAGGACTCGGACACTGGCTCTGACACCCTTAGTTTGAACCTCAGCATCTCAGCTTTCTAGCTCCTGTGGCTTTGGACATGTTAATTAACCTGTCTGGTCTTGTCGTTTATGTGCTTGCTACTCTGTCAGATTGAAAAGGTCACAGATTGATTTGACCAAATTGCCATTTCCATCCTCTCAGTCCTAGTGACACAGCATGCCCCATCGAGCAAGCCCATTGTAAAGGTGGCTAGAGTAAATGTAGGAGAGGTAGCCTGTGCTGACAGAGCTTGGCCGACGTGAGCCTTGAGAGATGTGACATTTCTTAGCAAAGACTTGTCTGTACTGACTTACTTGCCCAACCATCTGTTAGATGCTGAGACTTTGTAATTTGGGATGCCACAAAGCAGTGGCTCTCACATGTGGGTCTCGATCCTTTGCCAAACTTCTATCTCTGAAAATATTTGCATTACAATTCATAACAGTAGCTAAAGCAGCAACGAAAAGAATTTCATGGTTGGGAGTCACCACTACAGGAGGAACTGAACTGTATGAAAAGGTTAGGAAGGTTGAGAACAGCTGCTGTAAAAGGCATGTCCATGACTATCCCTGAAACAAAACGTGAGAAAACCTCACACTGCTTCCTGGAATAAATCCTCAAAGTGGATTACAGAGTGAAAAGATGCATAAATTCCCCCATACATACAGAAAACAACAACAGTGCAGTATTTACACATATGGACCATTTTTGAGTGAAAAGTGTAGGAAAGTGGCACATTTTGACTCATGCCTCTCTGGGCACCTGCAATATAACCACTGTACCTCAGGAGGAGCTAAGAAAACATCCAAGCTTTACATTCAAATCCTGTCACTGCCCTCAAGGTGTTGTGTACATTTTCTAAATGTGGATTCACTGTATTATTGTGCGTTTTCTGTGGTCATTATGTCCCACAGTCCAGCGAGGCAGTGTCACAGCACTGCGTGCCACTGTTCAGTGAGCATTTAGAGGCTTTGGGAGTTTGCATTACCTGCAGAGACCTCTGATCAGGGCCCATAGAGTGATCTCAATGCTCAGATCCATGACAAATCACCATGTCCAATGGCTCGCTAATGAACGTAAGCAGAGGTCTCTGTACTGTTCAGTGTTAGGAGCAGGACTCTGAGCGTTTGTGGTCTCCTAGCAGACCACACTGCTGAAGCTGAGACACCAAGGCTCTGATAATAGAGGCTTTTGCCCTTCTAATAGACCTGAAGGGGGACCTGGAAACACTTTTCCAACAGACAGTTGTTTTAGCTGTTAAGGGCTCTGGATAAATGCTTTTTACACACACACACACACACACACACACACACACACACACCCCATCACCAAGCTGCCCCTAAGAAGAAACAATTATGGGATTTTACATTTCTGTTGCTAAAAATTCCTGCAAATTATACCTAAGCACCACCACTTGGCACCAAAGTGAAAAACAACAAAACAGTCAGGTGCCTTGGCCCATCTTCACAGGTCATTCACTCACACTACAGACCTCGGCCCTCAGTCTCTCCTCAGTGACCCACACTGCAGACAGCAGGGGCCCGCAATGGCCCGCTTCCCTGCTTTCCCACTTCCACTGCTGATCTCCACAGCAGCTGGCATAGATGTGATGTGGCCTGGTCCGGAGGGCTGACTGAGGGGTTCACAGGGTTGGGTCTACCATGATTCTCCCTTAGAGTCTAATGCACATGGTGTAGTTTTACAAGTCTTAGGGATCAAAAGTTTACACCAAACTTCAAAGTTCTTTTGAGGTGGGGGCCTCACTACATATTCTGGTCTTGAAAACTGTGTGTGTACTATGCCAGCCTTGGTTTCACTGTATTAGTTACTTTCTGTTGCTGAGATAAAATACCATGACCCACAGCACTAAATAGGAGAAAGAGGTATTCTGGCTCACAGTGCCAGAGGAGAGCCTATAATGGTGAGGAAGGAGTGGCAGCTGGAAGGTGGATAATGCCATTTTGTCACACAGAAGAGGTGTGCTTTCTCCAGCAGGGTTCCCAATTCTAAAGGGTCTCCAACGTCTCAGACAGTGACCACCACAGCATCCTGCCCCAGTCGCCCAGGTATCAGAATTATAGGTGTGTGCCACCATGCCTGGCTCAAACTTGAACATTTCAATATCACCAAACTCCCTATCACATGTGGACTACTAGCTCATGTGGTAGAGCGAGTTCAAGGGTCAGTTCCTTGGTAAGCGATGCAAAGGAAACCTCTCTCACTGTTCTGTTTGCATCTCTCCAGTTACAAATGAAGCAGGCCACTGTGCCACCCATGTATCCATCATTTCTTTGGTGCTGGGACATGGACCCCAGCACCTTGAGCCATACAGTTCTAGCACCTGGCAATTTTATTATTTTTGCTTCTAGTGAAGCTGAAGCTGAAAGGGTGTGGTGTTGGGTCTGAGTCCCCAACATTCATCACCATCCTTCCCCACTCTCCACAGGCAGCAGCCACCCCACAGATGTAAACCCTCACAGCAAGTTATGAAATCAGGACCAAAATTTGGTCTCAATTTTACCATCCCTTATGGAGCTGAACATAAGTCAGGGTTGGTTGGATGGCTCAGTAGGTAAAGGAACTTGCCACTAAGCCTGACAACCTCAGTGTGGTCTCTGGCTGTCATGTGGTGGAAGGAGAGAACCAGCTCCCTCCCACAAGCTGCCCAGTGCCCCACCCCCACCCAGATAAACAATTTTTTTTTAAATTAAAAGAGCCTAGCGTCTGAGGTGGTATCAATAG